GCATAAAATAGATTATTATTTAGCTCAAAAAAGGGAATTCTGACCCAGCTACAACATGGATGAACCTTGAAAAAGTTACGCCAAGTGAAATAAGCCTGTCACAAATGTGTTTCTATTCATCTAAAATAGCCAAATTCATAAAAACAGAAAACAGAATGGTAGTTGCCAGGAGTTGGGGTGGGATAGGGGAATGAGGAATGATTGTTAATGGATACAGTGTGACTTTTACAAGATGAAAAAAGTTCTGAAGATGGATGTTGATGATGGTAACCAAAACATGAATGTACTTGCTTAAATGCTTAAAATGGTTAAAATTTATGGGATTATATTTTACCCCGATTTTTAAAAATGAAAAATTAATTTTTAAAAATAAATATAGAAGTGTAGTGACACACATGTTTGGAAGTACTGAGGTAGGGAGTGTCTCTAGGTTAACTTCTCAGTGTTTCTCTTGGCTTAACTTGCGGAGGGAAAGGGGGAAGTCAAGATGGCTGCCACAGTGTTCACTCACCACAGCCACCTCACCCGGAAGAAAAGAGCCCTGCCATTCAAGGCTTTTATGGAAAGCAGCTGAGGTTGCCTCTGATTGGAAGGTTGTGATGTCATCCTTCAAGTAATGACTATTCCATGGGGAAGAGAATGAAAGCTATCTTAAGCCAGCTCCAGTGCCTGAAGTAGGACATGGTACAGGTTCCCTCTTAGGGAGGTGGGTTGCCTAGGAAGCAGCAATATCTATTAGGAAGGAAGAAGGAGCAGACAGGGATGGGTAAGCCACCAGAAAAACTGCACTACCTCATATCCGGCTCAGACAAAGCAGAAACATTTTCCTGGAGATGCGGCAATTGTCTATGAGGGGAAATTAATGCATACGCAAACTACATAGTGTGCATTTGTTCTCAGAACCTGCTAATCAGAAGCCTCATGTGTTTTCATGCATATTTCATGCTTTTGGGGGACATTTCAGTAAATATCTTTTTACTGAGACAGTGATATTTATTAACCAAGATGTTACATTTCACTTGCAAATATTTGTTGAAATCCACATCTTGGCATCTTTAGGCAAAAGTAACAGTATGAGCAAAAGAAGAGATGTATAAGGGGAAAATAGCAAACTTTTAAGCCGTACAAGAACATGATTTCATGCCGTTAACGTGTAGCCTGAGTGAGGGAGTGACAGGAGAGAAAGCTGGTGAAGCAAAGGATCAGATTGTGAGGAGGTATTTTGCTGGCATTTTTGTCTCAACTTATTGAGGTAAAACATATAAACAAACTGCATAAAGAACGTTAAACTTTAGGCAACAATTCAATGAATTTTTATGTATGTATAGTAAATCCACATAATCACTATGCAGAACAAGATCTAGACTATTCCCAGCATTCCAGAAAGTTCTTTCCCAGAATACTCATCCCCAGAGAAAACTACTGCTCTGGCCTCTACCATTATTAATTAGTTCTGCCTGATTTTAACCATCATAGAAGTAGAATTATATAGTGTGTGTCTTCTGTATCTGGCTTCTTTAGCTGTACTCAATGTTTATGAGATGCCTCTGTGTTGTTTTATGTATCAGAGTTTGGTTGTTGTATTGCTCCCACTATTCCACTGACTAAATAAATATCCTACAATTTGTTCAGTCTCCACTTGTTTGGGTATTTGGTTTATTTTGGGTTACTGCTGTATAAATATACCCGTTAGGAACCTTTCCATACATATCTTTTGGTGAACAGATACATTCTTTTTGTGGGTCATATACCTAGAAGTGGGCAGATGTGTTTGTTAGTAGTACTGCGAGTGCTCTCCAGGGTTTAGACCAGGGGAGTTTTGACTTTGGCCCGAGGAAAATGGCAGTGATATGAGGAAATCTGCTTTATTGTGGAAGGCTCTGTGTATGGGAGTGATTCTCCCATCACTGGAACACAATACCTGACACCCACAACTTAGGAGGAGTGGTTTAATTTGGTTCACAGTTTCAGAAATTTCCACTCGTGGTCAGTTGGCTCCAAGAAAGAATCATCACGGTGGAAGGGCATGGTGGAGCAAAGATCCTCAGTTTGTAGCAGCAGAAGCAGAGCAAAGAAGCAGTGCCAGAAAGAGAGAGGCGTGACAGACAGACAGACATAGGCCCTAAGGTCATGCCTTGTCGACCCAGCTCCACCAACCTCCCAAAGCCAGTCAAGTGGACATTCCACCCTAACTGCCACACCCTGGGTTAGCTGTGTGGAAGGGGGATGAGATTCTATCTAAGAGGCCAGTAAGGAAGCACAGAAGAAAAACAACAGACCAGGAGAGAGATGAGGCAGCTCTGAGGATGGAGGGTGGTAAGAGGATGGAAGACGTTAAGCAGGTTGCGATGACGTGATTGGAAGTCATGGGGAGGCAGAGAATGGAGCCCAGGATGTCTGCCAGTCTTCTGATTTGATGTCAGAAAGACAGTACCCCTTCCTTAAAGAGGGAAGGGATAGGTTTGAGGAGATGAGCTCATTCTGAACATGCTGAATCAGAGGAATTCACAGGAAATGGAGGAGCTATGCAGTAGGCAACTGGACTCGTGGGACTGAAGCTAAGGGGTGGTTCCAGACTGGACATTTATGTTACAGATTAAGGGACTGAGTGAAGCATCCAGGGAGAGGATCCCAAAAAGATGGTGGAGAAGGCATTTCCTGGGGGGGGGGGGGACACTAAGAGCCTGCCTGTTGCCATGCAAATCACAGCAGCAAGAAGTTCCCAAAGGAGAAAGTGCTTGGTTCCTTAGAGACTACTCAAGCACCAGGAGAGATGGGCGCTGAAAGGTGGATGGTGAATGCCAACTTTGGCCTTGTTACAGGACACTATCAGTCTTTCTTTGGACTGGCCAGAAGACCATCCCAGTGGGACTGGGCTGGCCAGGCTGCCAGGCCACCTGAGGCCTGATTCATGGCCTCTCACCTTAGAGGGACTCGGAAGTGGGAAGGAGAACCAGCTTCAAGGCAAGGACAGTGCCTGTGGCTTTCCTGAGGTGTTTGTGGGGACCTCAACTGTACTAGAGGTCAGACTGAAGCAAGTGCAGGGCCACCTGATACTGAATGCAGTGACATTTGAACACAGTTTCCCCCTTGAACCTTTCCTCTGTGGAAAGTCAGTTGTAAACCATATTGACTTTAACCTCGTGTCAGAAAGGTTGCCCAGGAGGCCGGAAGTCAAACACCTGAAAGTACCTTGGTATGGAAGTCAGGGCAAACAAAATAAGATTTAGAACAATTTTTTGAGATCTATGCCAGTGGTGAACTTCTTTGGAAAACAGGACAAAAACTGACCCTCCTAGGTGAAAAAGCACTGGGTCTTATTAATTTGTATTTCTACTGATCTATAAACTTGGGGAAACAGTGAAGGAAAAGAACAACACATCTCCTTCTTTATCAGGCACAAATGGGCTGGAGGAGGCACTCCAGAGTTTAGTGGGCAGCTTTATGTATTTATATGCTCTGACTGGAGCTAAAGAGCTCTGGGTCACACAATGGGCAGTTTCTAGTTGGATTTTAAAAGAAATAACTTTGATCATTTCAAAAGCAATGAAGCCTGATGCAACAGAGAGAAAAGAAGGCGGTAATTTATGGCTACCATTAAGGACACAAAGACAAAGGCGGAGAGAACGTTTCACTACGTGAAGATTTACAAATGTGTAAAAACCACCCTTAGGACCAGAAATAGCTGAGTGTCTCTCTCAGCACCAAACACAAAAGGGGTGGGAGGGAGGCGCAGAAGACAGAAAAAGAGATGCATCTTGTCTGTCTTGCACAGGGATGAAAAGGTCAAAAGAAAACAACGCAGAAAAGTTACCTTCTCAGATTCTCCACCAGGCAGCAGCACTAACAACCCCAAACAGGAGACTTGGCTTGGGCCCTGGGTGGGTGGGGGCAGCAGACAGAGTTGCTGAGGTGGGGCGCTCTGGGTGATGTACAGGGTGCAAAAAGACATTTTGTGCATGATTTAGGCGGGGTTTTTTCTGCGTGTGTGCCTGGCGCATTTGTTGTCTTCTGATCAAGAAAGCAATGAATGTGCATTATAGGAGAAAATGGAATAAATACTGGACAGCGCAGCTCAATTAAGAACATTTGTATCCTGGAACATGCAGTTTGGTTGCATTTCAGACCTACTGCATTTGTTCCTGCAGGGCTCCCAGGAAAGGTGGCAAGGCCTGGTGTGTCACCCGGAGGAGTCCAGCTTGGAGAGGAATGCCTTCTGTTTGCACCTGGCCAGGCCTGTGAGCTCATAGCTGCCACCTATGCAGCAGGCAAAATTGGAGCTGTTGCTTGTCCCTGGTGACCCACCTTTGATTGCGAGGCCCCTTGCCCCTCGGGCTTAGGGTGCCCTGGAGAGATATCGAACTGGTTTACAGCAACAGGAATATTTTCTGCAGTGGTTCTGAGCCCTGCAGCATGCCAGCGTGCTCTATGATGGGACAAAGTGGGTAGAGCCTTCAAAGGGCTAAGGGCTGGGGCATCAGAGGTCTGGGTAGGGCTGTGTGGAGCAGACAAGCTGGGATCTCCGTCTCCATTCAAAAAGCTGCTTCCCTGAGCTCTCCCGACAAGATCAGAAGCATGTGGAGACAGTCCCAGGGTAGCTCTACAGTTTGAGGACCACGCAGGGCACTCTGAGGGTGCCCCGTGGCGCAATATTGCAGGCTGGAAGGGCTGCCGGTGCTCACGGAAGGGACTGGGTCAAGTTGTAGGACGCCCGGAGCAGGCGGAGCCCGAGGCTCCCGAGCGCCCGCCGCAGCCAGCCGGCCGGGGTGGGCGCGGGCCGCGGTCTGGGACTGACAGCCGCCCTCGGGCCCCGGCGGCCGCGCCCCCTCCGCCCGGCCGGGGAGGGGCGAGGGCGGGCGGGGCGGCACTGCCCGGCGGGGAGGACCGTGCGAAATGAGGCCGGGGCTGGGGGGCCGGGCGGGCGGGGCCGGGGGTGTCGGCGCGGCGGGCAGGGCGCCCGCACACACCTCGCGGAGCCGCCGCCGCGCTCGCCGCCCGCCACCGCCACCTCCGCCGCCAGCGCCACCGCCGCGCCTGCCATGGGGGTCGCGGGCCGCGGACGTCCCGGGGCGGCCCGGGCGCTGCTGCTCTCTCTGCCGCTTCTGCTGGCGGCCGCCGGCCCCCCGGGCCCGGGCCGCGCCGCCGGGCCGCCTGAGGGTGAGTGTCCGGCCCGGGCGCACCTGGCACGGCGCGCGGGCTCCGGGGACCGAGCGCGGGGCGCCCGCGCGGGAGCCGGGCTCGGCCGCTGCAGCTCGGTGGCCCGCTCTCCCGGGTCCTCACCGCCGGCCTGGCCCAGGCGCCCCCTCGCTAGGGCCAGAGGCCCGGGGCCCAAGTCCAGCGGCCCGCCCTCGGACCCCGACCCCGAGTGGTGACAGTTCCCACCCTGCCCGGACCCCCGGGGTCCCCAAGTGTGCCTGCAGGTCAGATGGCAGCCACGGAGCAGGGAGGAGGGCGACCGGGTCGCTGGGTCCAGCTTCCCATTGTGTGGATGGGAAGAATGAGGATAGGGCCCGGGGTCCATTGGTGAGACTGGGGCTGTTTCGTCCCTTTTTAAATTCGGGGTCAGGAATTTCTCTTGGCAGCCTCAGAATTGGCTCCTTGGACTTCTGTCTCTGAACACCCCGGTTTGAAGAGCTGGGAATGTCCTTAAGTAGCAACCAGCTTAGGTTTTTGGCAGCCAGAGATACGAACTGTAAGACTTTCTTCACTAGTTAGTGAATCCAGTTGGATTTGAAATACTTTCAAAACATTTTTGGTTTGTTTTGTTTTAAATTGACATCTTGGGATGATGTCAACCGAGGAAATACTCATACCAAATCCACTTTCCAGGTTGAGATGATGGGCAGGGGTGGGGTAGGGGCAAGGGCGATTCCCTTACCCCTTTGTACCACCTGAGAACTCTGAATGGGCTTTGCTCAGAGCTCAGGGCTGTCTTTATTCCCATCCCAGAAACAACCACTTGGCTTTCACAGCTGTTTTGTCAACCTGGTTCTTCCCTCCTTTAGTGGACATCCACCATTCTTCCTCCTGTGCCAGGCACTGGACTGGTTTGACATCGAGGACCTGGACTCTGTCTGCTCTCAGACGTTGTCTAGTAGAGGGACGGACAGGAAAATAGCACCCCACAAGATATGGTCTGTGAAAGGAGATAAGTGGGAGCACAGGTGGGGGACACCTCCCCTACATTGAGGGGCAGGGCAGGCCTCCAGGAGCAAAACTGAGTCTCACAGGCCAATTGACTATGGTGGGTTTATAATTCCAGTTAGAGGGAAGCAGGGACCTGGGCACAGTGTGGCTTGTCCCTGGGCTCCTGAGCAGTTTTGGTTGTGAGGGGTGAAGTGAGGTGGCCTGGAGGGCAATGGCACTGGACAGGGCCAAGGCCACATTGCACATGACTTGGACACTGTGCTGGGTGTTTGCTGTACTCTTTTACAGACATAGATGAGTGTGCCCAAGGGCTAGATGACTGCCACGCTGATGCCCTATGCCAGAACACACCTACCTCCTACAAATGCTCCTGCAAGCCTGGCTATCAAGGGGAGGGCAGACAGTGCCAGGGTAAGTGACTTGGGGACTGTGGTAGGAGGGCTAAGTAGGGCGGTCTTTTTACTCTTACCTTGTTTTCACCAACACATGTTGGTGAAAGTGCCATCTCAAGCCACGGATTGCTCTTTGAAATCCATTTCATACCCGTAAGGACTGGGAAGAGTAAGTCTGTCCCAGTACTGATGATGTGATTTTATCTAGCTCTGATGTGTCCTTTTGTCTAACTTCTATAAAGGAAAAGAGTTACCTTAGTATCTTTTGGTCCCACTCAGTTTGGGGGCAGAAGGCAAGCAGTCATGCTCAGCAGGAGGCTGTGCCTGCCAGGGCAGGGCGGATCCTGTATCCCCCAGGGCAGTTGCACCACCTGCCCACTCCAGCAAGGTCCATCTAGTCCATGACTGGGCTATTTGGCTCTGGGACATGCTGAGTGTTAGAACTACATCAGGAGCCTGTCTCATCTGAGCTGAAAATTCACCCTAGAAAGACATATGCAGAGGGATATTTTAGCCCTAGTGCCTCAGATTGGGAGCGTGAAGTGTGGACTCTGCCAGTGGGGAATTAACTCAATGTCATGAACTCTAAACATGGGCTCTCAACGTGGGCTCAACATGGCCTGGAGTCTGGGCACTCGTTGGAGGAGGAGAAGGGTGCTGGGACAGAATCATGGCATCTTGAAGCTGGCAGGGCTTGGTGCAAATCCATCACTCATTTTACAGATGGATGCAGAGGCCCAGGGGACTTGTGTCTGTGATCACACATTTAGCCTATGGGTGAAAAGAGTCAGGTTTCCGCCCCAGCTCTGCTGCAGATCCACCTCTCTCCCAGTCACTTAGCCTGCTGCTGCTTCTCTTTGTGGGGCGAGAAGTCCTAGTGTATTATTTATAGTCAGCCTGTGCGGGAAGAAGTTTAAAATTGATAAAGTGCATTGAGCTCATCTCTGCAGCTCCCTCCTGCCTCTGGATCTGACCTTGGCAAGCGTGTTTTAACAAATGCCTATTTTGGTTCTATCCAGTGACCTAGTGTTCATCCTCTGATGTTTCAAACCAATCTGTTTCATCTCCTGGCCTCTGAGTAATCAAGATTCTCAGTATTAGAACAGCGTGTAATGTCCAGTGGTAAACACTTATTTTTGTTTTTCAATAAATGAGCATGTAAGATGGGCTCAATCACTGGCGGCACCTTGACACAGGGCTTTTCCAACAGATATACAAATCTACAAATGAAATATCTAGACACGGAATATGCAGATGACAAAACATGTGGGCGACTGTCAGATGTTTTTGTAGTGTTGTGGCAATGGCCCAATCTCTCTAACCCCCATCTCCTGTCTTAGCACAGCTGAGACAAGCTGGGATTTTAAATTGAGCTTTGTTTAAAAAGGAGCCCAGACCAAAAGGAAATGGAGACTGGAAATAGGAATAACACATGGCATTATGATGGGCAAGTTTGGATCTTGGGGCAGGTAAAGGCATCCCTTGGGAATTGATTTGGGACTCTCAGCTTTGAGCCAGAAGAGGACAACTCCTGCCTTTCCCATCAGAGTGGGCAGTCTGTTTCTGGTCGGGTTTGCAGCCAGTGGGGTAGATAGTTCCTCTTGTTGAACCCTTGTGTTTCTGAAACCAGGTTCACATCTTCCCAGAGACAGGCAGCCATCTCTCTCTGTTTGTCTCCCTCTCTCCCTTCTTTCTCTCTCTTTCTCTCTCCTCCTCTCCCCAAGTGATGAGAGGCTAAAAGGTTTTCATTTGAAAAAATCCAGAAATACCTCTGGATCCATTTCATCCTGCACCCTCTCTGAGGTCATTGTTCTGTTTGCAGTACTGGCATTCACATATGCTGGTCCTTTGCTTGAGGGGGGAAAAGTCATTTTTTTCTTTTTTGGTTCAAGGAATTGAGCTCAAGGCCTCATGCTTGTTAGGTAGACGCTGTACTTCTGAGCTACATCCCCGGACCAAAGGTCATTTATTTAACCCTGTGGATTCCCTGACCTCCAGCCTCTGCCTCCTCTTTGGGGCACAAAACTCTGCCACTGCTTTCCTTTACATAAAATATGTCTTTAGTAATGCTGAATGACAAGTGACATATTTCCCTACTCTGCACTCTTGACATATTACAAATGAAACTGTATTACTATCATATTTTAAAAATCTACTACTTAGTTTAAAATAACTAAGTAGATAGATCAGCACTATATATATGTCCATATATTTAACAGTTGTTTTAAAATAACGTATCATTATTGTTACAAAAAGTCAAATGCAAAAATGTATAAAATAGAAAATTAAAGAGCTTCATATTCCTTTATCCACAGCTCAAGCACTATTTTTTGTTTTGTTTTAGTGGTTTTTTGAGACAAGGCCTCACTGTGTAGTCCAGGCTGAGTCTTGAACTCACTATGTAACCCAGAGTGGCCTCAAACTTAAAACAGTCCTCCTGCCTCAGGCTCCTGCGTGCTAGGACACAGGTGTGTGCCAACACGCCCCACTGCCAATCACTGGTAACACAAAAGTATATCCGTTGTACTGCCATTTTAAACTGAAACCCTAGAAGGATTTGATTTTTTAAAAATCCTTATAGGACTAATGTAGTGAGCAAAAATGTCCCTGTTTAGTTTGGATTTCTCATAGGAGTCCAGAAGAGGAAATAAGAAGAAATGAAAACTGCAAGAATTCAGAGATGTACTTTCTTTACCTGTGTCTTGGAGTCATGATTGTTAGTTAAACCACTGGAGCCCAACCCAGGACATCATTGTGTTGTGATTATCACCACTATCACTCCTCATGCTTGAATTTAAAGAGGGCAACTGAATTTGCCCAGGGTGACCAGGATTTTATCCTCCACAGTTTCATCTACCAAAATATCGGAGAAGTGAAAGTGTGAGGAGTGCTGGGATTATGGGAGTGTGCCACCACGTCTGGCTTTGTAATTGTTGCTATGATGTGTGCCCTATTCTTTTTTTCTTTGGTACCAGGAATTGAACTCACAACCTTGAGCTTGCCAGGCAGGGGCAGTGCCCCTGAGCTATATCCCTAGCCCTCCCTTATTTTTTATACAACTAATAATTGGAGTTTTTCTGTAGGGAAGATTTGCCTTTTCCACCTCCACTTACTTACGTATGCATGTATTTACACCAGTATGAATCATGGATACTGATTATACTACATCTATAATTATTTATTTTGGGCTCAAATTGTTCTACCATCAGCCATTAGGAGTTCCTTCCCATAGTTTCCTGTGTCATTTGGGCATTTTTAAGATAGAAAATCCTATTTTCCTAGTATCACATGATACTAGTCCAGATACATCTTACATTTTTCTGCTCCCAATCTTGGAATCAGTCGCTCCTCCAGCGAGCCCTGAGTCCTTTGATTGGAAAATGGTATAAAACACCAAGTCCTGGGGGTGGTTCTTTGCTATCAGATGTCATTGTTCCTGGGCTGTCTCACTGGACAGAGCAAGGAAATGCAAAAGTGCGTACTAATGTGTATTCACACATGTGTATTTCTTACACCTAATTCATCTGTATGTATTACAAACACTGAAGAATAGTGACACTTTGAATTCCATACTGATACCACAAGATTCATTATAACGTTCCTTCGTGCTCATTCAGAACCTCTTTTTCCAAAAGTATTTATAGATTACTGATTCAGAATCCTGTGAGCCAGAATACAGTTCTTACCAGCTGGAGAGCAGCAGGTAGCTCTTTTTGCTTTTAGTTTTATAACATTGAGTCAAAGTGTTGCCTTTCAGTTACTTGGTTGGTTATGTTCATTAATTTACAGCATTAGGCTAATTTGTTCATTTTTTATTCACGCTCGCCCCCTCCCATCCCTACCACCTGGTTTGCTGGTGCGCGTGTATGTACGTATGTATGTACATATGTATGTCTGCATGTGTGTACATGTGTGTGTCTACATGTGTGTAAAACATCGCCTTGGTTCTGAGAGTCAGAGTTATACAAAAAGGAATCCTCAGAGAAGTGGACCTCTTTTCCCATCCTGTTACCCTGATTCCATGCCTCTTCTTTTCCGCCCCCTTCCCTGTACCTTGTAGGTCATCAATCTATAACTCCTGGTTTATCATTCTTTTATTTCTTTTGCACAAATAACCCTCAGTGTTTCTCTCTCCATCAGCCTTTGGCAATCACTGTTGTACTTTTTGTGGGCAAAATCACAGAGACAAAAAAGACAGACTTATAGTACAAGGATGTGGGCAAGTGGTAAACCCTTGTACATGACAGTACTGGTGGGAACATAAAATAGCATAGCTATTTTGGAAAACAATTTGGCAGTTTCTTTTTAAGTGTATAGTTTAGTTTTATGAAATTATTTATAAGGTGCAGTTACCGCCACCCTTCATCTTCATGACTCTTTTTATCTTGTAAAACTGGAATTCTTTACCCATGTAACAATTGCATTATTGTTGAATGAGTAAAGAATTCCACTTTTTATTATTGAGTTATAAGTTCTTCATAAATCCTTTAGAGGGTATATGACTTGCAAATACTTTCTACTAACCTGTACCTTGCCTTCATTTTCTTAATATCTTCCAAAGTTCAAAAATAAATAAATTGATTGGTTGGTTGATGGATTATAGTACTGGGGAGTGAACCCGTGGAGCACTGAGCTACATTCTCATCCCCATTTATTTTTAAAATGTGATACAGGGTTTCAATAAGCTGCCCAAGCTGGGCTTGAGCCTGCTATCTTCCTGCCTCAGCCTCCAGCGTAGCTGGGATTACAGGCATGCACTACCCCATCTGGCTCAAAAATTTTAAAATTTTGATGAAGTCTATTAGATTTATGATTCAGGTATTTGATGTTATATGAAAGAAATCTTTACATAGCCCATATCTCCAAGGCTTGTATTATACATTTTTTCTCAAATTTTGTTTTAGTTTTACAATTAGGTCTCTGATCCATTTTGATTTTCTGCGTAAGGGTCTAAAGTCATCTTTTTGCATATGAATATTCAATTATTCAAAATCACAGTATCTGTTGAAAGACTATCCATTTCTCTCAATGAATTAATTACCCTTGGCACTTTTGTATAAAACTGAATGATCATAAATGAAAAGTTTATTTCTAGACTTTCAATTCTGTTCTGTTGATCTATGTCTTTTTATGCTGTACACACTGTCTGGATAAGGGTTGCTTTATAGTATATTTATTCCTCCAAACATGTTTTCTTTTAAAATCATTTTGGCTCTTTTTTGGGGGGGAGGCTGGATTCTGGGAAATGGGATGATTGATTAAGGGATAAATGCATGTGTCTCACAGAGAAATTGCACCTGTTTGGTTTATTTATGTTTTATTCCTCAGACATTGATGAATGCGAAAATGAACTCAATGGAGGCTGTGTCCATGATTGTTTGAATATTCCAGGCAATTATCGCTGCACTTGTTTTGATGGCTTCATGTTGGCTCACGATGGTCATAATTGTCTTGGTAAGAAAAACATTTGGAAATGATAATTTTCCTGTACTCACCCTCTAGCATCCCTTCCCTTTTCTTTCCTTTGATGAAAACTTACTTATTAAGACAAAGAGGATATGAGAGGCCTGTGGTATTTGACCTCCAAGAAATCAGACTCAATGTTAAAAGATGAGATGAGAGGATGTTAGTTTTTATACAGTCAATCATAACATGATTCCTTCATTAGCCCAAGAAGATGGGTGGACATTGTCATTTCTATTTATTAATTTGCTGACATTAACTTGTCACCTTTAATATCTTTGGTCTTGGGTTAAAAAGATCTTGACATAACTATTTTATTAATCCTATACATATATTTTTCTGAAATTAACTAAAACTCCTTGTCCTGAACACTTCAAATGTGTGCTTGGAACCTTATTGGGTAGATGCATCCTCCCCTAAATCCCTTTTCTCAAAAGGCAGAAAAATCAGAGACTTTCTGTGAACATCCTTCTAGTATTCCATAAAACAGAAACATCTGTTAGAGTTTCCGTTCCTGAATTAGAGACTGTGAGGAGTGTTGTTGTCGTTGGTTCTTTATGCCAGGGATAAAATGGAACTTAGAAATACCAAGCATTTGGATGAGGTTGAGTATTGGACAGTCTTTGACCATTGCAGTACACCTGGCAGCTAAGTATTTGTGATTTGCTTTTTAAGGCTAGTGTTAGCAGTTTACAGGAAGACATTGTGGTATCAAGAGCTTGATCAAGGCTGTGGCTCTCATGTACCCCTTTATGGTACAGTAGAAATGGCCAATTGATCAAATAAAGATGCTTTGAGAGCAGCATAAAAAGGTCCCAGAAGAACCAGGCAGAAGATGTGTTTCAGTGGTCCTGGAGAGTTGAGAGTAGTATCATTTGGGGCTCAACCTAGATGTGACCTTTATCCCACTTTAGGATCACCTGGAGCTCTGTCCTGAGGTAGACACTGGCCTTTCTGTCTGTTCCTTGTGGGAGAGTTCAGGCTTGGGTCTACAGGGCCTGTGACCTTGTAAACCTGTAGCTGTCAGGACAAGTTGGTCAAAGGTTAGGGAAGCCTTAACCCCTCAGTAGACTTTTCAGGCAGGCAGCACCATAAAATGTATCTTTCAGAGCAATTCTGAGGATAGGAATGAACTGAGATGAATTTAAAACTCAGGAAAGGGAAATCCCTTTAAGTGTGTAATTTGTCAGGAAGAGTATGGGCTTTTTGTTTGTTTGTTTGTTTGTTTTGTTTTCCATTTTCAGAGAGAAATTTCCCTTTGATTTGCCAACTGTGGCATTTTGAGGCTTCATATCTGATTGTAGACCAGGTCATTACTGTTGTGCTCTGATCCCCAGCCTGAGGGAGGTGTGAGCTTCCTAAAAACAAGCTAAACCATCCAGTGTTTCAGGACCTGGGCCAGGGCTGGGTGGGCGGGGTGGTTCTGAGTATGGGCCTGCTCAGAAATCCTGATGCCTGGAGTCTTGCTTTGCCTGAGCCCATACCACAAATATTTTATCTGAGTATCTTCATTTCTCCGCCTTAGGATCTCTTTTATACTCGGTCACAAGCATCTGCTTACAGAGAGACCCTGAGCATCCACTGAGCATGTGTGCAGGGCTAAGGACTCTTTAAAAGTTCCTTTGAAAGAGTAAAACCAGCATAGAGACGTTTCTGCCATTCAGACTAGGAAAGGCAGGCATACTTGGTGGTAGGAAAGAAGCTCGGAGCTGAAGCTCTTTAGGAGTGGCAGGTTCTTGTGTTCTCCAGGATGAACGCTTTCCGCATGGCAGTCCCCTTACCATGCATTAGTCCCAGCATCTGGGTGCTAGCGTGGTTGAGATCCCTATCTGGTAGTCTGGAGAAGCTCACCAGCCTGGTGATAGGTATTTGTGTATATAAATACACACACTGCTGTATTTATCCAGTTACTATATGGCACTCAACATAATAATACTGATTGCTCTGGAGAGAAGATGTAGTGGCCAGCCTAAGAGCAGCCTGCCTTCACTCATAGCCAACCCAGGATGTGGTGCTCAGGGGGACAGACCCCGCCTGCTCACCGTGAGTCCTTACCGTGGACGTCTAGGCCAGGTGCACCCTGTACAGCTCATCCTCTGGAATGTGCTTCCTTTGGCCTCTGGCTTAGACGGGGGCAAGTTTGTTAGGCTTCAGGAGATGGCTCCCGTCCCATCAGTTTAGTCAGGCATCTGCCTGGTGGTGTGGGAGGACAGATGCCTATAAGATCTGAGGCTTGAAACCAGATAACAGATATTGAAATGTGAATTTTCTGATTACAGATATGCTCAAGAGCTGGTGATAGGGCACGAGAAGTTAGACTGGAGACAATAAGTTGCTTTTTAAATCAGGGTTCTCTCAAGCCTCTGTGGTATCTAAGGCTCTTCGGGATGTTTCCTCTTCTCTGACTCTGGTGATGCTGTACTCTCTTGCTTGTTTGTCCGTGCGCTGAACAGTTCACAACTGCCTGCCACGTTCCAGGGCTATGCTTATAAAACAAAAAGCTCTGTCCTCAAGGAGTTTGCAGTCTAGCCGAGATGGACAGGCAAAGGGTTTTGAGGATGCAGCTAGGTAAGTGTCTCAGTAGAGCAGGATGCAGGATGTCACAGGCTCGGAGAAGAAAGGGCTCCACGGGGTGATGGAGCAGGTCAGGGAAACCTTTTCCCTGCCCTGCCTTTCTCATGGCTCCTTCTCTGGGATTCTGGGACTCCTGATCTCTCCTCTACTTACTCCAGTGCTGCCCAGAACCCGACCTCTCTCTGCACCCCTCTCCTGCTTTTCCACACTCCTGCCTTTGGCTCCCCCATCCAGAGCCATCTGTCTGTGCCACACCTGCAGGTAAATGGTTTTCCAAGCTGAGCTGATACTACCACGTGCGCCGCAGGTTTTCCCCACCCACGGGACCTGAATCTCAGCATGTCAGCATCCCTTTCTCTGCCTCAGGAGAAGACACAACTGCAGCTCTATCCCCCTGTCTGCACCGGTACTGGCATCTCCCATGTTTCTTTTCTAGACAGCCTTAGTATCAAATTTTCATCTTCTGAGGAGCAAGGGAAAGCTGACACCTGCTTCATGGGCACCTTGTCCATCCTGTCTTTTCTGTGCCTGCCCTCCCAGCAAACCATTGCCCTCCCCAGCTCTGTCCCCTGCAAGGACAGTGTGGCCATGGTCATCTCAGGTGCTCATGTGCAGCTAGGCTCCTTGGGTTCCCATTCCTCTGCTCCCAGTGCTCTACATCCTCTGTCGCCTCCTGATTTCCCCAAAGTCAGGGTCTCACTGTGTCTCTGTCCCCTGCTCCAGTGGTAGCAGCTGCTTCCGGAATGAAGTAGGAGCTTCTATTCCTGGAATTCAGGACCCTGCCTGTGACCTCAGTCTACCTCCCACTGTATCTCCTGCAACTCCCTCCATGTCCCCTGTGCTCAAGCCAAATCAAATGACTCACTGTGGTCTGGTTATTTCACGCTTCCCAGCCTCCGTGTGCCAGCTCACACTCCCTCCCCTGCCTGCTAGCTCTTCTCTCAGGATTTAGAATTGAAGAGACCCTAAGGGCCCATCTTTTCATCGACTTTTCCATGGAACCCATGCTGGTGCCACACAATCAGATGTGACCTCTCTTTCCTCTGTGTCACCTTTCATCTTGTCTCAGAATCGTTTGTATATCTGTCTCCTTCCCTGTCCTGAAGGGCTTGCTTCTGGAGAGCAGGAATGTCATCTCCCCATCTAGCACCAGGCCTTGGAAAGCAGAGGTGTTTAGTACAAGTTGACTGAGCTGATGATCTCATGCTTGCAACAGGGGCCTCGCAACATGAGCCCCAGACTCTGAAGACTGAATTAATCATCCATGGGCCCCAGGGGCTTGGATTCTGAGAGCGTCTGTGATGCAGGGCTAGAAGAGGGCCCTCCGATCTGCTTGCCAGGCTGGGTGGGGCATTTGAAACAGCTGTAGAAGCAAAGCTAATCCCTCTCCCCCTCCAGATGTGGACGAGTGCCTGGAGAACAATGGCGGCTGCCAGCACACCTGTGTCAATGCCATGGGGAGCTACGAGTGCCGCTGCAAGGAGGGCTTTTTCCTGAGCGACAACCAGCACACATGCATTCACCGCTCGGAAGGTACAGTACCTCGGCCCTGCTGGAGGGCAGCAGGCAGAGCCACACCTGAGAGTCCGCCCACCCCACCCAGTGACTTTAGAGAAGAAGTGAAGCATACAGAAAACCTGGAGGTGGGAGGAAGAGTCCGAACTGTGCTTCCGGGGGACTGTGGGCAAGTTTTTCACCTTCACCCTCCTCACCTGGCAAAATCAGTGCCTGTCTGGGGGAGCACTAAGGTCCTGGCACACTTTCGTATTCTTTGATTCTAATCGTTAAATAGAGTACACTGCAAATGGGACTAGACGTCTCTGGAGAAATAGGGTGGATGATCTGCCAAGTTTTTCAAAAAAGGTGCCGAAAACCTCAGCACCAGTATGAGCCTGCCCCTTGCTCTACCGTGCAGGGGTGGGGCTGGATCCTTTCAAAGGAAACTGGCCATAAATTGTCCTGTTTCCAGCTCCAAGCTAATTCTGGTCCTGTCCTGTGTTTTGCATCTTGGAACTCTGAACCTCAGGGCTCCGAGGGGCAGAACTCTCCCTGGGAGCAGTTTCTTTCACCCATTCCCCATTCCCCATTCCTCTCTCCATAAATCTGCAGAACTTGCAGTTCCTATGGCCTCTTTCTCATGCTCTTCTTTGAGTTTATACCTTTTTCATTCCTGTTACTTTAGTGGAGACTTGGGAAGGGGCATTAAGGACATGTGGCCAATCAGTTATTTTTAACCAAATATCATCTTTTAATCCTCAAAAAGCCACAAAATGGTGGCTGTATTTCTCTTGTGGTTACATCTGCCTGCTATTAGAGCAAGTGCCCTACATATTAGACTATTAACTCCTTTTACCATGTGCTGCTTATTTATTCCCATATCTTAAGAGTGAGGTCATTTTAAGTTCTACTTAATCACAAGTTTGCAGATTTATTGTTCCAGTGACTTTTAAAGAGTTGCTTCATGGAAGATGATTTTGTCTCGTTTTCTGACAATAAAGGTTTGTACTTTCCAACTAATTCAGATACCTCTTTGTGTACTAACAGTAATCATCAAAGACACTGCCTGGAGGCCAGTGGCTTGATGGCTAATACCACCACCCCAAGGCTGCTCATTTCCAGCATTTGGAGCCAGGCAATCGGACACACTGCTTTTAATCACACAGATTGTTTGTTTGTTTGTTTTGTTTTTAATCTCATGCTAGATGTGGCCCTTGGGTGGAAGTTGGGTTTCATTTTCCTGCTGGGTTCTCTGGACTCTTTGGCGTGAAGTCCAAAGTAGGCTCCAAAGTGGAGATGGGAACGCATTAAGTCACAGCCCACAGTGATCTCTGTCTCTGGATCTTTCCCCTTTTGGTTGCTCAAAGCCACTTAATGGCAAGTCAGCCTGGCTTTCTCTTCCCTGGCTAGGAGGCAGGAGCCTGTAGGTGAAGTCATTGCTTGCACACATGCAGCATAGATCCCACGGTGACGGGTAGCTGGTGGAAATTCCAGTCATCTCTGACCCTGGTGCTTCCAGAGCCCTGGCTCAGCCCTCTCTTCCTGGGCTGATTAGAGACACAGGCTCCTCACGACAGAGGTAACTACAAACGCAGTTCCTTTCTGCAAGCTGTGTTGTCTAAACTTCTCAACAATTCAGACATTCTTGGATCCCCTGAAGAGTATTTAAAATGAACGTATTGTCTGGAACTAAAACCCAAACCCGAGAATTTGAGTTGTGGTCTGGAAATGCTCTCTCATTTTCTGTTGTGTTTCAACCTCATTGCTTGGCAGATCCATGGCACCGTGTGCCAGCAGATGATGGCGATTTGGAACGGTGACCCCTTCCATCCTAGGGCTTTAGTTCTTCAAACAGAACTACCTATAAACAGTGTTCTTCTGGGACTTCCTCCCTGATGTGCATATTAAGCTCTTAGAAATTGTATTAAAATAGACCTTAAAATCTTTAACATAGAATTGTATTAAAATAGACCTTAAAGTCATACGCTAAAAACAGTTGAAAGGAGGCAACACCACAGGTTAGCATTTCCTAGCACTGCTCTTGTTTTCAGTAATGCTTTACTAAATGTTCTTCAATCCAGAGTTCCATAGTAGCAGATTCTGAGGGAAAGCTCAAGCTATTGATGTTTTTAATCCTCAGAGACCCCAAAGCTCTGATAGAAGACTGTGTGTTTTCACCCATGAAATGGGGGTAGGCTGGAGAGAAACACATTGTGCCCTGCCTGCCTTTGTTCCTATTCACGGGTGCTCAGGCTCTCAAAATGAGCATTTCTCTTTTGCTTTGTCTGTGCTGAGAATATTTAGCTAGTCTTGTGCTGCTGGGCAGGGTAGTGGGGAAGGTGTTAGGGTGGCAAAGAAGGTGCTGAAGCCCCAGCAGGGCCTCGTTCCACTTTACGTAACATTTTTTGGCCGCATTCTCAAAGCATATTTAATTTTGAGTTTCCAGAAATATCCTTCAGTGGCACTGTGAGCCCAGGTAGTGCCAGCACAGGGTATTTCCGGTGTCTCTGAGCCATTTCCTTCCTGGCAAAGGGAGCTCTGAGACTTGACTGCCAAGTGGGTCCTGGGAAAGCCAGGCCCCTGTTGGTCTCCCATGTGGACCAGGTCCATCTGCCCTCCCAGCACTGCCCTTGTTTGAGTCAGGTATTCTGAAGGGCTTCTGATCACCTCTTGAAAAACCACCAGCATTTCCAGAGTTGCCTACACCTCCATTACATCTTGATAACTTTAGGTCTAGCCTGAGAGAATAGGGTACCAGGGGGACACCTCTGTTTCTCCGGATGACATAGAGCACGTGGTTGTTTTTACCAGCTCGCTTGCTTGATTTTTTTTCCTGGTACTGAGAGTGAATCCAGGGCCTCTACACTAAGCTCTTTTTTTTTAGTTTTTTTATTTTAATCCAGGATCTGATTACAACTTATGATCTTTGTGCCTCAGTTTCCCAGAGTGCCCCACCACACCTGGCTCCAGCCTGTGTTTCCCTGAAAATAAGACCTGACTGTAAAATAAGTCACAGCTGGTTGTTCCCAGGGTAGTAGCCAGTGTCACGTCACTACCCTCTTGCTCGGTCGTTATTCTGCAATGGCAGCCTAAGACAAGGATGGCTGATTGGAGCTGGTATTTTCAATGTCTGATTTTCAAGGCTGATATTTTCCAGTTAGGTGTTATGTTCAGAGAAACAGTATTTCTTTTGCATATCAACTATTCTAAGACAGTAAAGGTACTTTGCAAAGATCTTAACAGACACGTAAGCAGAATGAAAAAAACAGTGAAGATGAAATGACCAGTTTTGGGAGGGTTCTTTCGAGGCTTTCCTGTCACCTGTGTAAAGCTTTCTGTTACTTGACAGCAGCCCTCGAAGCGGGCAGAATCCTAGCAATGTGTGGCAGGTAATACAGGCAGCTCTGGACTGTCAGAGGAAAAAGTAGGGAGAGATTCAAGAGAGCCAGGGATTGTATTGGCATCTCCACAGTCTTTTGGAATGGGAGTGGCACCGTTTGTGTTGACACCATTGTTCTGTGGAGCACAGGTAAACTGCCGTGTGTGAGAGAAGAGACTGGAGACTACACTGGAGACTACTCAGGGATAAGGATTTAGGACCAGTGTTGGATCCTTGAAAAATTAAATAAAAACTTCCTGTAGCTGTGTTTAAAGCAGTGCTACTTTCAGATTAGAAAGTGTCTTCTTCCTAGACACGCAATGAGAACCAAGCCTGACTCGCAGCGATGTTTTCGAGTTGGCCTGCACAAATGCCAAGCAGCGCTGTGCTTGGGAATCCAGAACCTGTCTCACAGGGGCCCTGAGGATGTGCCTGCCTGTGAAATGTGATCCCTCAAATGCAGACACATAGCCAGGCCCCAAGGAATTGCTTTCAACATGAGGCAGAAGACTGGTGACCCACCATGGAGTTTACCTTGCTATTGCCGCATACTTAGGTGCATGTAAAACCATCGGGGTCATAAACACCTCACCCCTTTCTCACCATTAGTACAAGATTGGGCCTAACAGAAATTTATAGTACACCTGAAAAAATTATGCAGCAGCTGAGGGAGCCATATGTATGCAGTCTCTCTCTTTGCTCTCCTTGTCATATGATGCTATCTGTCAGCAACAAAAGGAGGGGACAAGGACCAATGGAGGCCAGTTCCATAAGAGAGGTGCCCAGCAGCCATCCATGTGGTGCTGCCAGAATGCAGCAGTCACCCTCCCCAACAAGTGTGGCCCTTGCTGACCTGGAGAGAAGCGCTGACAGATTTTTTTTTTTTTTTTTTTGTCTTTTTTGAGATGAGGTCTCGCCATGCAGTTCAGGCTTGCCTTGAGCTCACTTTGTAGCCCAGGCTGGTCTCGAACTTGTAACGATCCTCCCGCCTCAGCCTCCTGAGTGCTGGGATTACAGGCGTGAGCCACCATGCCCCGGTAGCCCTGACAGTTTTTGAAAAAGATCTTTAAGGGTATACTAAAAGGTTTGCATTCTTTTTTTTTTTTTTTTTTTTGTCTTTTTCCTTTTTATCAGTACCAGGGATCGAACCCACAACTGCCTGCTTCCAAGGCAGGTACTTATACCGCTGAGCAAAATCCACAGCAAGGTTTGCATTCTTGATCAGTGAATAAATAAAAATGTAGCAGTGATAAAAATCTGGTGAGAGGCTAAGGCCGCAAGACCATAAGTTCTAGTCTATATCTGGAAACTGGTTCCTAGGGTCAGCAGGTTCTGATCCATACTTAACAGAGAGCAGAAGTTTTGAGGGGGAGAGGCACCCGCCTCCTTAAGAGAATTGAGAAATTACATCTCTTGCGAGATATAAGAAGTCTTTCATGTTTCTGTTAATTGGCCCAGCTTGATTATAATGGCCTATTTATTTGTTGTTTTTCTCAGTACTAGGGAATTGAACCCATAGCTTCACACATGCTAGACAAGTACTGAACCACTGAGCTGGGTCTTCAGCTCAGGACACTTTTTTTTTTTGTGTGTTGAGCTAATGGAAACCAAGGAAGGCAGGTCTGTGCCATTCCCATCCCCAGTCCCTTGTGGCTTCGCCAGGGCTCAGAATTCTGTCTGCAGCCTGGTCACCTGCTGCATGCTGCTGTTTTGCAGAGGGCCTGAGTTGCATGAATAAGGATCACGGCTGTAGTCACATCTGCAAGGAAGCCCCAAGGGGCAGTGTCGCCTGCGAGTGTAGACCTGGTTTTGAGCTGGCCAAGAACCAGAGAGACTGCATCTGTAAGTAGGAATGGCTTCTCAGCCACACTGGTGACACAATACCCCAGAAAGTGCCTTCTGCTGCCCAGCATCAGAAACGCTGCCTGGTGGCACCAAGACACAGCCTGAGGTGCCACAGCTGGCACAGGCACTGTCCTCCCCCAACTGCTACCTTCACTGTAGAATAGTACTCTCCTGCAGGCAAGAGGAACGTGATTTATACGGAACTAAGGAGGAGGGAATGAAATTCAGGAGTAAACGATGTGAACGATGGGGAACAGGTCTTCCTGTTCCCGGAGAAGAAAGTCAGATTTTCTCACCTGGCAATCAGCTCTTTGCTATCTGGTCCCTGCTTCCTTGATAAGCTTCCTCTACATCCTTTTTGCAGACACTGACTCTCTTGCCCTTTGGAGAATAGCCCTTATTCCTCTAAGCTTTTCCAGCCCTCCTCCCTTCCTGTGTGAACACTCACCCAACCTTCAACATCCTATGTAACTCCTAATAATGATAAAGAGCACAGCTACTTTTTAACGAGACCTATTACATGCAAAGGCTTGTCTCATGATGTTCTAAATCCCCTTCAATTCTTACAAGATCCCCTAAATATAGGTGATATATATATTATGCATATTTTCGGTTGAGAAAATTATGAATAAGGTAAAGAAACAAGGTCTTACCGGGAGTAAGGGGCAAATTAATTTTCAAACCTGTGTCCTCCCAACTCCAAAGCTATGTTCAAATCCCCACATGGCCTTGTGTCAGAAGCCTTTCTGTGGCCTCAGGCAGGGAAGCCATTTTGTGTTTGGCCCCCATAGCACTTTGTTTATTCCTCCATCACAGTGCATGACACTGGATTGTGTGGTGTGCTTTATGTCTGTCTCACCCACTGTGTGCTACTCCCAGTCAGGAACCCTGTCTCATTGTCACTTCTCAGTTTTCCCCTGGTACCTAAAACGGGGTGTGCTCAATGCGCACTTGTTTAATGCATAGGTGAGTGGGGGTGTACACAGGATGGACACAGCTGCCACAGGATGATTGTGGTAACAAGACCTAATAGACAACAGGAAACAACCAACAATTAATGGTGTTCCTAAACCCACTACCTGTGCTAGAGAAAGTAGAGGGTTTTCCTTTAGGAACTCTTTCCACAGCTCTGGGCAGAGACCCTCAAAGTTTGCTATGGACATTTTTTTACCACAAGGACTGATTTCCCAGGGAGAGACTTCTCTCTGCTGTCCCATCCTGAAACAAAGTGTGCCCTCCAAGCCTGCCAACCCTGGGCTGATGCCACTGCCCCCCTCAAACATCAGAATCTCCAGGCTCTTATATCCCCCACGTGGGCTGCCCCTTAGGGATGCTAGGGGTTGGACAGAGCTGAGGGCACTTTTCTGACCTACAGTTCTTCGAAAGGAGGACTCCAGGCCCTCAAGACTTTCCTGGGGATCCAGACTGTCAGCACTGCAGTTTTTTAGGGGTCAACTGCTGGAACAAGGATACTTAGAAAATAGTTTTTAAAACTTACATATTTTTAAGATATCATTGTTGAAATAGTATTGTGATGGCATTTGAAGAATTAAGAAAAAAAAATAAGACCTGGAATTCTACCATATAACTAGTTGTTTCAATTTTTCCATATTCTTATTTAGTTACCATTTATATATGTACATAGTTTTATATATCAATAATCATAGAACAGCTTCCTTCTCACATTGCAAATATGTAATTAGTTCTTTTAAATTAGAAAAATTACAAAGGCCTATGTAAGAATTCAAACACTCTGAAGTATATAAAGACAATAAGTAATCTCCCCCTCCCATTTCCTTTGCTAGAGGTAACATCTGTTAACAGTTTGATGAATAGATATAGTTTTATAGTTGGCTTTTTAAATTTATTTTTTTGGCTTGTCACCAATGCATTCATACATAGTTTTCATAATTATTGGTTAATTTGCATTAATTGTCTTCAGAATCATCATTTCTTCTGATTATATTTTGTTTTAATAAATCCAGATGGAATCTACTAACATACATTCAAGTTAAATAATGTCACTTTATTCCGGATACGAAGTGCTGTTTCTCAAAGGAGAGCTGTGATAACATGCAGACTTCTGTAGATAGAGCAGAAGATAGAGCTAAAACCTTGGTATAATTCCTCCTACTTAGTGACCTTCCCTTGACACACACACATTTCTATCCTCCTGTGTGACTTTGTGCAATCCTCTATTTCAGCATTTCTACAACTTGTATCATAAGTATTTGCTTATACAGATATGAATAGAGCCTGAATGGCACTTATCTCTTTTATGCTTAGTGCCTGGCACAAATGAGGTGCTCAAATTCTTGCAGAATGAAAAATCGGAGACAGCAAACAGCCCTGGTTGTGGAAACCTCACAGCTTTATGTATTGATTCACTTTGTTTCCAGTGACCTGTAACCATGGAAACGGTGGGTGTCAGCACTCCTGTGAAGACACAGCTGAGGGCCCTGAGTGTAGCTGCCACCCCCAGTACAAGTTGCACACGGATGGGAGGAGCTGCTTTGGTGAGTGTGACCGACCCCACACTGGCTGATTCTGGCTCAGCATCGCCCTCCCCAGTGCAAACCTTCACCCTACCCCTTGGTGGTGTTCTGTGCATTTCCTCCTATGAGATCTGGGCTGCTCCACACGTTGCTGTGGGAGGGCTCTAGCTCTGGGCTGGAAGTCCTGAGCTCCATGTGTGGCCTTGGAAAGCCCTTCCTCCTCCCTTGCGCTAGGCTGCTCCTGATACTGATATTCTGGAGATTGCTACAACCCATCCCAGAGGGTCAGGGTGACATGTAGTTAGAACTAGCTGTTTGTTTTGGTCAACGTGGCGGGCTTTCTGGTCAGCAGGAGTGGGGGACGCGTATTTTTGGCAGGACTTCTGCCCTGCCCTACAGAGGCCATCCTTCATTAGCTCTATTTCAGAGGTTTCTAGACCCAAGATTCTTTTCACTCCGAAGTAAGTTTCCTGGAGTGAATCTGAAGCTTGCATTACCCAGTGTCTCCTCGGTTAGTGCAATGGACTTCTAAAACCTTCTCCATGTGGAAGGTTTGTAAGGATCCATGGCCCTCTAATGTGCTGTGTTTTCCACAGAGCGCCACTAGGACATATAATACTGAGTGAACAGGGTCACATCTTCCTTCGTCCTCTTGCCTGGAATTCCACCAGAGTAGTTACGTAGGGAATGGATAATCCGCCTCATTCAGCCTGGGAATTTGGTCTTTGCTTTTCTTGTAGAGCGAGAGGACACTGGCCTGGAGGTGACAGAGAGCAATGCCACATCAGTGGCAGATGGGGATAAGCGGGTGAAACGGAGACTGCTCATGGGTAAGCATGCGTCTTCTCTCCCCTCCCTGGTCACTGCCTTTGTCCGTTTGCCTCCAGGCTCACTGTGCTAGGTCTGGGCTCAGGGCCATGTGCCCTCAGACCAGGGGACCTGCTAAGCTAGGGTGTGTCTGTTCTTTACTCAAGGCTATTGCTTCTCTGCCATTCAAGACTCTTGGCCCTGTGGGAAGAGTGCCTGCCAGGCCATCAAGATAACCAGGTTAATGTCCTAGTGCTGCCCCAGCTGGCTATGAGACCTGGCCCCAGAGATTCTGTCTCTAGGTCTTCCTTCATAAGGGATGCAATAAAATCTACCTCTCAGGGCTGTTGGGAAGCTTAATTAAGACAGTGATAGGCAAAGTGCACAGCATCCAGTGCCTGGGACATGGTGGGTGGCCAGGGGATGTCAGTCCCCTTATGAGAGAAGTACTTTGGGCAGCCTCCAGCCTCGCATGGGGATTCGTCTGTTTTGTGTCCAACTTGCCATTTCTCTGACTCAGCCAGTGTTAGCAGTAAAGGAGATGAATGGAGAAGAGTGGCACTTGGCTGTGGGACAAGGGACTCTTTGCCAGCAGCCCCAGCAGTGGAGCTGGACAGGAGAGAGAAGTAGATGCAGGGCCTGTGGGGGTGGGAACCAGACAGATTCTCTGACATGTTATTCTGGAGAGCTTGACGCCACCTAAACAAAATGGATCTTTCGGCAGCTTCTAGATTTAATAGGTAAGATATTGAGCAGATATTGTTTACCAAGCAGGTAACATTTCTGAGCCTTTTTCTCAATGGTCAAGTTAAAATAGTGCATGATTGGTATAAAAACTTAATTACCAATCAGTTTGTAATGAAATACATCATTTGCTCATCTCTTGACCTCCTATTTCTTAATCCCACTTGCCAGAGGTCACAGTTCTCAACTTTCCTAAGTTGTTTCTTCTCACTTCTCCTCCCTCGTGCTCTGCAAAATGCAGTGTGCAAGCTGTTTCTTGATCTGTCAGCTTTCGACAGAGGTTTTTGACTTCCTACTATGAAGACTAGGTTTCAGCAGTCTGTGCTTCCCTACCCCATGGGCATGCGTGTATGCACACACATACACCCACACACCCACACACACACTCACACACACACACACACACACTCACACACACACACACACACACACACACGCACACATGCACATATCCTCTCCCCTGTACCCTTGAGATAGTTTTATCACAATTTAAATCAGTTTACATTTACGTTACTGTGACTATGGATATCTACATATGATTCGCCAAGAGTCCATAACATACTATATATTTCTTTGGTTAGTTTTCTAAGCATTTCTGACTCATTCTTCTGCAAGTCTCTGGAAGAACTCTCCAAAACCCTTTCCAGTCTGCTCAAATGCTGCAGGACATTCTTAGCCGAGGTTTGTCCTCTCCCCAGCCCCCAAGGAAGCTTCCCTCTGTCCAGGAGTTCCTCTACCCTGGCCCAGGCTCCTCTCACTGCAGGTGCTTTCCCAGAAGCCTATACGTTCTCTTCTCTGCTCTCCCAATTTGATGGAGTGGTCTCGTTCTTTTTAAGTTTACACTTAAAATAAGAAATATCTTTACCTTTTGTCGTTTGTTGAGAATCTGGTTCATTATAGAATTCAGGGTGTCCACATTAGTGTTTATTGTTTTCATTCGTATTCTTGATCCTTCGTGTGAAACCTGTGAAAGCTCCCTAGAAGGTTGCAGGACCTGCTTGTCCCTGGTGACCTGGAATTTCACAGTAAGGTTTTCCCTGATGCTGTGGTATACACTCAGCCTTTTCAAGGTGAGCATTCAAGGTTTTAGACTCTGAGAAATTTTTAAATATGTATGTTTTTATTCCATTTCTCTGTCCTTTCTCTCTTTGAAAATCCTTTTAGTTGGCTGCTATAACTCTAAGATTGATCCTCTCTCTTTTCTCTTCTTGTATATTTTTTCCGTTTTCTAGGAAATTTTTCATGTTTTTCTTCAAATTCTCCTACAAGATTTTTTTTGTAATTCCTGCTTTCATATTTTAATTTTTCAAGAATTTTACTTTGTCTTTTTTTTGGGGGGGGATAGGAAGTTGTTCTTAGAACCTTTTGTATTTCCCTGAGGAAATTAATTATAATAAGATTCCAACTTCTCTCTTCCCTTTGTATTATGTGTTTTTCCACATTTCTTTCTCCCCATTTGACTTGACATATATATTTAATATTCCTAAAATACCTGATGGTTCTTACCTGATCCTTCTTACTAGTAAAAATCCAGTTGGATATTCTACTGGTCAGTGGGCTTCATATTTCAATGGTGAGGTAGTAGCTTGGCCCCTTTGTTTGAAAATCCTCAAATGTCAGTATTGATGAGTCTTCAACTGGACAGATAATTTATTCGGAGAGGAATCCTTTAATTTCCTGCCTGGGGATGGTGGCTTTGCTGCCAGCATTCTGGGAGCTGGGGTGAAAGGAGTGTGAGATCTTTCTTTGCAGGGAAGACACTTTCACCTGAGCGTGCCTCCATATCATCCTGTGCTATTCCTGGTGCCTCTAGTCCGGCTTCTCCAGAACATAAACTTTTCTCTATAGCCAGCATAGGGAAGGGGTAGTCTTGTGGTTGTGTGGAATTAAGAGGAGCTCTAAGGGTTATCAGTTTCTCTTTCTCTCTGTCTGTCTTTTTTCCCAGTCTTTTTTGAGACAGAGTTTCTCCATGCAGTTTAGGCTGGCCCTGAACTAATTCACTTTGTAGCCCCGGCTGGCCCCAAACTTGCAACAATCCTCCTGCATCAGTACTGAGTACTGGTATTATAGGCTTGCACCACCATGCCCAGCATATCTGTTTCTTATCAAGGCTCTTGATCTGTCTGTTTTTAACTACATCCTTACCTCTGCCTCTGCTGCTGCCGCTGAGATAACTTGTTACCTTTGATTCCTGGGCCTTTCTGGGACTCTATGGCTCCATGAGCTTTACGATTTGTTGGTGGCCCCTCTGCAGACCCCTAAGACTTGGCTTTTTGCTACACTAATTAACTGTTTTTTCTTTCACATGCCATTTCCAGAATCTTTTATCTGTTGCCTCTTCTTCCCATTCTCTTTGTCTTTTTAAAAATCTGTCTCATCTTAGTGAAATTTCAAGAGGAAACAGATAGACATATAGCTGTTAGTCATTAGAGGTGAGCTTGTTTCTCCAGCCTTTATAATAACTGACAGGCCTTTTTCTAGTTTCAGGGAAAGGTAAATTTTGAGTAAATTGGCAGCTGCAATGACGAAGCCAGTAGCCTGAACAAGGGAATGGCTGGGGTGGGCAACGCTTACTCTCTCTTGCCATCCTCAGCCCCCAGGCTGAAAAAAGTTTAGGGATGAAGAATGGAACGTTCCCCTGTGCCTGCCACTGTGGTCACACTAAGCAGCTTGCTGACTGTGGATTAACACGAAACTTTGGCAGCTTTAAATCTGCCCACAGCAGAGAACCACTCTGGGGGTTGGAGACATCTTCAGCCCTCTGGCCTCTGACCCTGACCAGCTCCCTTAGGAAATACCAGTCATTTAGGTGGGTGGAAGGAGCCACACCTGCTCCCCACGTGTCTCACCTGCACGTGTCAGAGACTTGGGGTTGGACCAGGAGTACCCCACCATACTTTCTGGCTTTCACAGACTTTGTCAAATATTAACACCTGTATCAGCTCTCCTTTGGAAGCTAACTGCCTTTTCTACCTGGTCAGAAACGTGTGCTGTCAACAATGGAGGCTGTGACCGCACCTGTAAGGACACCTCCACAGGTGTTCACTGCAGTTGTCCGGTTGGATTCACTCTCCAGTTGGATGGGAAGACCTGTAAAGGTACTGTTCACCGTGTTTGTTGGGGGTGCCCTGTTGCTGAGGGCACCCTATGCTGCTGATGTGTGGAGTGACTCCAGATCGGCTTATGATTCATATTGATGGGAGCTTTCCCCCTGAGCTAGTGGACGGTTACAATTGAGTAAGCTTAATTAGAGCCATCTTAATTACACTAACTGTTGAGAAGGTCAGCCTCTACAAGCTTCAAATGATCCCTTTCAGGCCGTGGCTTTATTAGAAAAAGGCAGTTCACTGGCAGGAGATAATATCAACCTGTCACAAATAATAGCCTTGAGATTATTATATAAATAACAGCCAAGATTATTATCCAGAGAACTTAATGAATAACTGTACCATTAACTTTTACTGATGAAGACAGACCCCAGGGATGTGCCAGTATGTCACGGGCAAGAGTACAAAGGATTAGTGATAAAAGATTGATAGCTAGTAACCAGATGAAACTGAGAAAAGATAAGATTGAGTATCAGGAATCACTTAAAAAACATTGAGGGCATTTGGTCATTATACAATTTGCCAAAACAAATGCTCTACTCTCTTACAGCTTTAATCATTAAGCTAGGAGAGAAAGTTTACTAATGGGAGCTATCTGATCTTAAGTGAGTGCCACAGGGGTGAGAGTGTAACAGGCTATCACTACTCTTTCTCATCATTTCTTTACTTAATGCTTGTCAAGGCATTGGAAGTCAGCCTTGGATGTCAGCCTTCTCAAGAGGAGACACTTGTCTTTCAAAACTGGTTTAGCCAAGATGAGGAAACCTGTATAAGATCTGAAACACCAGCAGACATTCTTAGAGGCTTTTATGGATCTGTCTTTATTTCAGGGAATAATGAATGTAGGCAGTAGCACTCCAGCAATTTGTAGGAAGCAAGTCAAATATAATTCTTTGACTTCCCGGTGCTTGCCCGTCACAGATATCGATGAGTGCCAGACCCGAAATGGAGGCTGTGATCATTTCTGCAAAAATACCGTGGGCAGTTTTGACTGCAGCTGCAAAAAAGGATTCAAGTTATTAACTGATGAGAAATCTTGCCAAGGTATGTGCTGAAAATATTGTGCTGTGGTTTCTGGTTGAAAGAGAAGATGTTAACTCTCCCTCCACCACCATGGCTTTGGTAGAAGCCTCCTGACAGGGTCACTAATGCAACCAATCACTGATCCAGTCCAGGCTTCACTTCACTCATCTGCCAGGTAGAATAAAAACACTGACGGGACTCATAGATGTATTTTGGAGATTAAGCTGTTCATGATTAGAGAACACCTCAAAGAATCGTCTGGCAATACAGCAGAGCTAGAAATAGAATGGAACACAGACTTCAAGCAGAGTTGCACTGGAGTGTTGAGATTAAGAATAATTTTCTTCCTCTTTTCTTCTTCTTTTTTTTCTCCTTCAGTTTGGGGATCAAATCCAGAACTTTGTACATGTTAGGCAAGTCCAATACTACTGAGCTACATCCTTAGCCTTGAGATTATGACTAATTTTTTTCTAAAATGTTAATGTTATTAAATTTATGACAAAACTTGATGCCATATGTAGATTTAGATACTATACCTTCCTAGCAAAAAATCAGGGTCAATCCATAATCAAGACGATGAACCATTATAATGGTTCATGGCAAATTGTATAATGGTTTGGCAAATTGTATAATGGTTTTTCTTTGGGCAGGGGGACTCTGAGGATTGCACCTAGCACCTTGCATTGAGCCACATCTCTGGCCCATTTTTAATTTTTTAACTTTGAGGCAACGTCTTGCTGGGTTGCATAAGTTAGCCTCAAAGTTGCAATCCTCCTACCTTAGTCCCTAGTAGTTAGGATTACAGACCCTCACCACCACACTTGGCTTTTATCAGTTTTTTTTTTTTTTTTTTTGAATGACCAGCCTTTGACACTTGGAGGGAGGGAAGATGGGATGGCTGGAGAGGATTGTGGGGCAGAGATGTTCGATGGACCCCTTCTCAAATGCATCGTTCCCAAGTAAGGGGGCACAAGGGGATTTCTCTGGCAGCATCTGGTATTAACAACTCTTTTGGGTGACAGAAAGCTGTTTGAGGGCATGTCATCATTTATATGTTTAGATGAAGCACCTTTTATGTCCTATTGATATACAGGAGGAAGTTGTCAGGAAATACAGGCTGTCCAAGTATTTCTGTTCTGTTTCTGCAAAAGAACTGCTATACTTTTTTTAAAGAAATATCTGTAATAAATAAAAATCAGAATATAAAATCTGATTTTATGTCACATAATAAAGATATTAATGTCTTTTTTAAAAAAAGCTTCATTGTCTGAATTAGGTTTCTCTTCCCTTTGGTCTGTTGTTAATACATGATTTGCCCGGGCTTGAAGTATATTCTTCTTTAAATTCAGTGAGTTAATTCTAGATGATTATTGTGTGGTTTTCTACAGTTTGACTTGGAAAGCAAATTTACTGTTCCACATAATGTTTCATAATGTATAGAGCAAGCAATGCTGTTTAAGCTGTGTAAACACATTAAAAAGGAATTAGGAAAGTGATCTCATTATTTTTGGCAAAGCAAAACTCCGTAGCAAGCAGCCAAAGTCAGCTACTGAACGAGTCCCTTTCTTGGCAAATAGCTGATATTAATAACAGACTTCACAGAGTGGCATCAATTACCAGGGAAGAAACGGACTTTTTCTCATTTTTCACTGATCAGTCTTTGTAGAACAAATATTTGCAGAGAACAGATTTGCTGAAGAAAATGCCAGGGTTTCTGGGAAAAGCTAGGGATGAAAAGGTTTTGCAAGAAGTTGCCCTTTTTAGTTCACTTTTCATTCCTCCTGAGCCATCCAAATGTTTGCTTTTTATTAACATAGTTTCTCGTGACACATTTGGTGTTGAAAAAGTGGCCTAATGATGGTCTGTTTGACTTCCACTGAGTGCTGTCCGAGTCCTGGCTTACCCATTTGGAGCGACAAGTTGTAACTGTTAAAAACCCCTAAAGAGTTCAGGGAGTAAAACACTACAATTCTAGCTCACAGGAAAGAAGTGAGGGCCAGACCATGAAGAAGTGATTAGATAGACAAATGCAGCCTCAGAAGCTGGCTGGCATGGCCCCAGCTGCAGGCAAGGGTGCAGCCACTCTGGGCCACGTAGAAAGGGAACACAGAACCAAGTGACTGATTGGCCAAGCGGATCTGGTTTAGTTTAACCACTGAGTTTCAGTACTGAAGATGTTAGTGTTAATACATTCTTGCAGTGCAGATGGCATTAAAACCCAGGATTTTAATGCTCAGGAACCATAAGATTGACTCTGGATAGTTCAGAAAGAGATAGGAACCAGATTTACCTCCAATCAAGTATATTATTTCATTTCACCATAGCTTAAAAATTATGGTTGCTGTTTTACTACAACTATTAATAATGTAATCCTAGTAATGCATAACTAGTCTTATTGTATAGCCTGCAAACTCTTTTTAGGTGTGTTATCTTATTTGGTTGTGTTTATATAATTTAAATTACCCTTCCAAATAAGCATGGGTGAGAGACTAACAGAGCGTCAAGGAAAATGCAATTTGCAATGCACTTTGCTTATACTTATTTTGGGCTGCTCAACAACTTCTTTGATGCAGTGAGCAAGGAGAATGAATACTCTACCTCTTGTGTGTGCTGCTTTTGTTGTCAGTCCAAGGTTGGTGTGCATTAGCAACATCTCCACGCGTGTCAGAGTTGGTTGCAGCTCCCCCTCTCCCTTTGGCAATTGCAGATGTGGACGAGTGCTCTTTGGATAGGACCTGTGACCACAGCTGCCTCAACTACCCTGGTACATTTGCTTGCGCTTGTGACCCAGGGTTCACCCTCTACGGCTTCACCCACTGTGGAGGTGAGTGGACCGCCTCTCTTGAGTTGGGAGTTGGGGTGAGGCTGGGTCTGAGGGGAGTAGGGTGCAACATTTTTCTATACGGAGGATGAGGGGACATTCTAGCCTCTGTCCAGCAGCAATAACTCCTTCTCCAGGGAAGCACCTGCTGAAGAGATATGTCCAAATGGACCCCTTTAGCATGTCATGTGTGAAGTGGAGCAGAAAGCTAAGCTTTTTCCACTGTGGATTTGTCACTGACTTAGTTGACTTGGGGCTACAGGGAATGGGAGGGTCTGTCAGGAGCTGGGACTCATCAGCTGGACTTCCCAGCAGACCATAAAGACATAGTACTTAGAGAGATATGTTAGACACCAAGCAGTTCCTCAACCAGCTGTGCATAGACACTGGCTTGAGCTCCTTGGTTAGAGTCTTTGGAACAACTGAGTTTATCTCTCAATTCTGTCCATTTCACAGCATATCCTCATGTCTCATCGGCTTATGGTCAAACAAGTTAGTAGCATAAAAACATTTGGTATCAACAATTTCCACTGTCCTGGCCACCAGATTCTCCCAGAAATCTTTGAGAATACAGACTCAGATTTTACCGTGGTGCCTACCTGTAATCCCAGAACCTGGGAAAAATGAGGCAATTAATATGAATTCAAGGCCAGCCTGGGAAACTTACAGGGACCCACCCTCAAAAAACAAAGATGACTACCCCACGCTAAGCAAAGCAAAGGAAAACAAAACAAAATGAAACAAAACCAGATTTGAGTCTAGAGATTCCAGCCAGGATGTTTAGGGCCTCCAGGGTGATTCTGTGGATCTGCAGGATTTGGGAACCACTGGCCAGACAGCTTTTGCCCAATATTTGTGTCCTGTGCTTCAGGATGAATGGATAGTGGTGGCACTTTGCTATAGATAAAGTTGTCTCCCTTCTTTTGAACATGTCCTTGGGCATGGCTAAAAACGTACCCTTCCCAATCCAGCAGGAAACTCCAACAAAATCCACCCAGAGAGAGACGTGAATCTGGGTTAAGGTGGAGCCACCTTCTGACCTGGATTCAGTCTCCAGCTGATAGAAATCAGTGCAGACTTCTTCTACTCTTTGTCCCTCAGCTGTGGAAAGAGTCAAGCAGGGAGTGCTCCTTCTGTCTCCCTTGCAGTATGGGCCAGAGGATAGTGGAGTTTTAAATTAGAACGCTATGCAGTGTTTCAGCTTGGACATCTGAAAGCAGAGCATGGTCCCTCTGTCTCTACTGGGGCAATGGTCTGGTTTAGAATGGAACTCAAGCCCTTGCTGGAGAGGCTCAGGACTTCGGAGAGTGGGGTATGTGTCCAGCAGGTACCAAGCACATGTCCTGAAGGCAAGGAGCACCTTCCCTTTGGTGACTTCCAACCATGTGTCTCCACGGCTGCCCCTTCCGCAGCTCACTCAGTGATGTGCTGCTGTGACAGGAAAGCGTTTTGTTCCACAGACACCAATGAGTGCAGTGACAACAATGGCGGCTGTCAGCAGGTCTGTGTGAACACAGTGGGTGACTACGAGTGCCAGTGCCATCCGGGGTACAAACTCCACTGGAACAAGAAGGACTGTGTGGGTAAGGGGGGCCCACCTTGGCACAGACTCAGCCAGGGGTCTCATTGCTGGCCCAGAGGCCCGAGGCTCTGAGGCTCCGTGTCCCACTGCGCCCAGTGCCCCTGACTTCTCACTCAGTTCCCCCAACAGCGGCAGCACCTGGTCTTTAATTAGTCCAAAAACAGGAGATACTTTGCAGGCTCTCTGGCACTTCCTTCTGTGCTTCTGTGTAGGTTGGAACTCATGTCTGTTTTCCTGGTTGCTTTTCTGCATGAAAAAAAAAAATAGCATTCAAGGGCTGGTGGGCCATGGTGGGAAATGAGGCTTGGCATTGTGTTCTATGTGGGCATCAACTCCACCTTCTATCCTTGGGCTGTTGGTGCACGTGATGCAGCCATCCTTGTCCCGCTTGGAGATTTTCTTCACTTTCTGTAAGTGCCTGTGTTTTATCCTGTTTAGAAGTAAAGGGGTTCCTGCCCACTAGCGTGTTGCCCCACGTGTCCCTGCTTTGCAGTAAGAGTGGTGGAGGAGACAGGTGCTTCCTAAGATGTCACTCTGGCATTCGTATCTCTTCAGGTGAGTGGAGCACAGTCCCCAGGGCAGATTCTTGTGCCAGAGCAGGGGCTTCCTGGCCTACGATGTCAGATGCTCTCGGAGGGCTTTCATGTCTTTAGCCAGATACTTCCCAACCACCAGGGGCCCGTGCTTTGAGACCCCATAGGCTGGGTGTTTTTCTGGTTTCACAGAGGGAACAGGACTGGGGCAATTTTAGCTGCTACCAGCATGGCCTGGAACCTTGCTTACTGATGTGACAATCCACATTCTGTCTATTAGGACCACAAGAGGCCTACTCTGTCACCTGCGGCTCTTCTTCTTCTCTCAGGAACAAACAGCAAAACTCAAATGACTCTGCTTTTGGGGGTAATTACCAAATCTGTGTGTTTTTTCTGGGGCTCCATGGGGTTCATTCATGGGGTGCTATTCTTGAGCATTAGCTTAGTTTTCTTTTTTTTGCTTAATCTCCATGTTGTGACCATGTGAGAGGATGTTCTTGTCTGCACTCTTGGTGCCTGAAATCTAGTTTGCCCATGTAGCCGGCACTTACCAAAGGACCGCTGTGTGCTGTGTTCACCCTGGTGGTCATCATTGTTCACAGAGGCCCACAGAGCCATGGAGCCAGGGCACTCAGGCCTCCCAAACTCCTGGTAGCTCAGATCATCTCAGAGTCCTGAGGAGACATGCCTGGGGCACCTGGCATTGATAGAGATGGGCCTGGGCAGGAAACGGGCAGCAGGGATTCTGTCCTGAGAAAAGGTCCAAACTCTTCCCAGTTTGTCAAAAGACTAAGAGTGAAATTCAGAGTTTCCAGATCTCCTCTTCTAGGACTGATCCATTTGTTACTATGTCTTGGGAACATTTGGATGAGGCTCATATTGCATCATTTTTGTGTTTTTTTGAAACAGGGTCTCACTGTGTAGTCCATTCTGGCCTTGAATTCATAGTGAACCCCTGCCTCAGCTTCCTGAATGCTGTGATTATAGGCACGTGTTACCATACCTGGCCCATAGGACATCTTGGTATTCATATAACATGGGCAAAGCTAGTGACCCAAAGCAAACAGCAACTGAGCAGTTAAACTACACCAGCTACCTTATGCGTACATTAGCTGATTCAATCTGTACTACCTTCCCCCCTCAGTTTGTCTAATTATCCTCATTAACCAGGCAACCTAAGGCTCACAGAGTCAAGCTAACTTACCAGTGGCTCAGATAATAAATAGAGGAGCCGTGATTTGAACCTAGGCAGTCTGTGGTCAAGAGTCTTAAGCACCGTCCTTCCCTGCTCTTTTTGCCAGATGTTCGGACCAGACAGAAGGGACATCATGGTCTGTTTCACCAAATCCCTCATTGATGACTCTTGGTGATTTAGGCTACCCAAGGGTAACAAGCAGCTAACAGTTACTCAGTTCTTGTTTTTCTTTCTTTTTTTTTTTTGGTACCGGTGATCAATCTTATGACCTTACACTTGTGCCACTGAGCTTCATTCCCGGCCTTCAGTTATTACTTTGTACCAGGCAGTAAGCTGAAATATTGTTATTGTTCTTCTTTCTTTTTCTCCTCCTCACCTTCCGCCTTTTCTTCTTACTTCTCCTCTTCTTCTTCCTCCTTTCCCTCCTCCTCCTCTTTTTCTGCCTTCTTCTACCTTATCTCGTTTAATCCTCAGAACAGCCTGGTAATCTAGATGTGTAATTATGAGACATAAGGAGATTAAGGAACTTGTTCAAACTCTCACCACAAGTCAGAGAGCTAGAACTTACATCTAGGTCACTGACTCCATAGCCTAACATATGCTTAAGACTGATTCTGGAGGAGAGAAGAATTCTGCACATCAGCCCCTAAAGCAGGGCCCCGCTCCCTGCCCGCCCTGGAAATCTGACCACTGCTGGAATGGCAGCTCCCTCAGCCCTGTCCTCCCAGGACAGGCATAGCAAAGCCTACACTTTACCACTTCCCCAACAGTCATGGTACACAAATGACCTCATCTCTTAGCTCCCTGAGGAGGCTGTTTGGGACCTTCTCTTTGTTATATTTGAACATTGGATTCCTGTCTCCCAGGCGGGAATAGGATAACTCCTGGCTCCAGGTGTCTGCTGTCTGGAGTGATGGGCACTCCATGATCCAACCCTTTCTTGGGTTTAGGCTGTGCAGCATTGGGGTGGGGGGAAAGCCAATGGATAGCTCGCCATCACCCTACCTTTGCTTCCCTTCCTTTCCCTCTGAAGGTAACCTCTCACTTGTTTCTTTCTGAAGATGTCGCCACCATCAGGACAAGTGTAACCTTTAAGCTAAATGAAGGCAAGTGTAGTTTGAAAAAGGCCGAGCTGTTTCCCGAGGGCCTGCGACCAGCACTACCAGGTATGGAGCCAGATAGCCGCGGCTTGGCAGCATGTTGGACGCCAGAGCTTGCCTGCAAGTCTGGAAGGGGCTGAGCTGAGCTGAGGTCTAAGGGTGGGCGGACAGCTGTCCAGCTCACGCAGGCACACTTCAGAATCTGCAGGGACATTGTTTGCAGAGGATGGAGAGCCTGACTGAGCACCCCTGTGTAGTTCTAGGATTACACCTCGGGGCTTCCTTTAAGATATGCTGCTGATAAGCTCTGAAAAACAGAGTTCTCAGGAGGCAATGAGAGCTTGAGACACCAATCTGTGGATCATATTGGGTTAAATTTTCTAGATCTTAATGTTTGCTAGTAAGATAAGCCAAAGAAATGGAAAAAAAAAAGTTTGGCTCAAGTATGATAACTTTGATGAAAAAAGATATAATCCTCCAGATTCCTACTGGGTCTAGTTTTTGGAAGCTGTGAGGAGTCCATTGGCTTCAGCAAAACAAATGCCATCCAAGTATAAATGACTTACTGAAATGAGCAGAATCTAGCACTCCTCTTTCTTCCCCTGGCTCCCATTTCCTGTAATGTTTCAGAGAATGCTGCTTTAAGTGATTAAACAGATCAGGATTTACTTATTAGGAGATTTCTTTCCCATTCTACCTTCAACTAAATCACACAAACATAAAGCTCACTCTGTTCACTTATGATACCTATTGGTAACCAGCCAAGGTCCATTTTGGTTTCTCCATCTGATGGAATCATATGCTGCTATTAACTGAATGTATTCATTGAATGTTCGATGACAGAATAAAAAGTACTGGTTATATTTGTTAAAGTGTTATAGTAGAAAAAAGGGCCATAACATTTTGTATATCTAATACAATCTGAAATGTACATGAAAAAATGAAGAAGAAAAAAAAAAAGCTCACTATATCATTAGGAGTGTTTATATCCAGGTGAGAGAATGATGGATAATTTTAATGTTTTCTACTTTTTCCATAATCTCCACAATGAGCATTTATATTTTAAAATCAGGAGGAAAGACCTATTGAAAAATAGATTTGGTATAAGGTCTTGAGTTCAATTAGTGATCCAAAAAAAAAAAAAAAAAAAAGAAGAAGAAGAAGAAGAAGAAGAAGATCTGGCCTGGACTTTACTTCATGGGATTGTGCCACTGCTCATATCTTAGTGGTTTGGGGGTGTTTTTGTTTGTTTTGTTTGTTTGTTTGTTTTTGAGACAGGGTTGCCCTATACAATTCAGGCTGGCCTTGAACTCACTAGGTAACCCAAGTTGGCCTCAAACTCATAGCAATCCTCCTGCCTCAGCCTGTGATTACAGGCGTGAGTCACCACACCTGGTTTTAATTTCTTAGTTTTGATAAATATGATGTTAAAGTACGATGTTAATATTAAAGGAAACTGAGTAGAGGATCTATGGAAACTTTGTATGCTATTAGCAAGTTTCTGCAAATCAAAACTTTCTTTAAAAAGTGATTTTTTAACATAGAGATATGGGAAAATTGAACATGAATGTCTCTTTGGTTCACATTTTGAAAATGTAAAATATATCTTTGGGAGGAAAATACAGAGAAGAATGAATTTGCTTCTCCCTTCCCTGCCCCCATGACCTGTTGTTTCGAACATCCTCATAAAAGAGTACCATGCCTTAGGCTGAGAATATAGCTCAGCAGCATAAGCATCTGCCTGGCAAATGCAAGATCCTGAGTTTGATTCCCAGTACAAAAACAAAAACACAAACAAACAAAAAAAAAAACCCATACCTTTTTCTAGGTGTGCTAGTGCACGCCTGTAATCCCAGCATTCAGGAAGCTGAGGCAAGAGGATCGTGGCAAACTCTAGGCCAGCCTGGGTTACAAAGTGAGTTCAAGGTCAGCCTGAACTGCATACCTAGACCCTGTCTAAAAAAAAAAAAAAAAAACAAACAAAACAAAAAGAGAACAGAGAGAGACTACCATGCCAATAGTTCTTCAGGTCTATAAAGTCAGATTTTGAAACAGAGACAAATTAATTGTGTGCATATGGAGATCTGCTCTTTGGTTTGGGTTAACAAGCATTAGTCAACAGACTCCTGGGAAGCAGTTAGGGCAGGAGAGACAGTGGGAGCAGGAATGTCAAAGCCCTCCTCTTCCACCATCAGCGTTGTTCATGCCATCAGGATACTGTTTGGTTCTGTCGGTTCTTTGTGCCACGTATTGTTCCTGGTGACTTAAAAAACGAGACACCACTGTGGCTGTGTTTTCCAGCCCGCCCTCCGAGTTGGAATCACACAAAGGTCAGTTTGCCTAAAAGCAAACTGCTTTTTTGCCACTGAGCTCATTCCCTGTGTGAAGACTCCAGCCTCTGCTCAAGCAATCAGAGTCCAGCTGTGAGAACAAACTCTTCTCACAGCACACCTTAGCAAAGGAGGGAAGGCAGGAGCCCCGATTCCGCCTCCCGCCTGTGTGGCTGGTCAGTTGGAATCAGCAGCATTTATCCGTGGAAAGAATTTTCAAGTGCTAGAGTGAAGTTATATAGAAGGCGGTACTGGGACTGCAAAAATGAAAATGTCCTGGCTCTCCAAGCTGGGGGCTTGCAACGTCTTAGCATGTGGAGTTAATCACGCAGTCCCTGGAGAGTTGTTTCAATGAAATGTTTACCGAGCTCTAGCGAATGTCCAACTGAGTGCTTTGCTAGGACTTGGCTTCCGATAATTTTGTTTCTTCATACAGAAAAGCACAGCTCAGTAAAAGAGAGCTTCCGCTACGTAAACCTTACATGCAGCTCCGGCAAGCAAGTCCTGGGAGCCCCTGGCCGACCAAGCACCCCCAAGGAAATGTTTCTCACTGTTGAGTTTGAGCGTGAAACTTACCAAAAGGAGGTGACAGGTTGGTCTGAAAGCCACTATGTGCCAGGCTTCTCACAGCTTGCTCCTTCTTTCTCTGCCTTTCTCTTTTCATCATTCCTGGGAGGAAAAATAGTGCAAACACTGAAGTATCTCCTGTTTTATTTTCACCCCAAAACTACATGAAATTGGTTTAGAACCTGAGCTAATGATTGTTTGTGCTTCGTGAAAGCTGAAAGCTACCATTTTGGTCAACAAATTTCCGTTCGAATTGAACGAATGCTGCCCAGCTTGCTAGGTGCCCACCTCCAGGCATCTCCCTCAGGTCCACTGGGATCTCGGGGTGCTGGTGGGCCCCACAGTTAGTCTGGATGCTCCCACACACTGTGGCCTGACCTCCTCCCGAGCTGCCGTCCCTCTTGTTTCTGCAGCTTCTTGTGATCTGAGCTGCATCGCAAAGCGCACTGAGAAGCGGCTGCGGAAGGCGCTGCGCACGCTCAGGAAGGCAGTGCACAGGGAGCAGTTTCACCTCCAGCTCTCAGGCATGGACCTCGATGTGGCTAAAAAGTCTCCCAGAGCATCTGAGTGGCGGGCCGAGTCTTGTGGAGTGGGCCAGGGCCATGTAGGAAACCAGTGTGGTGAGTAGCCTGTGACATTCCTGCTAACAGCCCTGCCCGAGCTCCATGGACACTGAGCAGCGAGTTCTGGGCCAGTCTCCCTTTTCCAGAGAACTCTGGACCCCTTGTCTGTCGATAACTACTGTCCTGGTGGCCATGCTGTGTGACTAAGCCACACTCACCTCTTTCCCCAGGGCCTGGCTTGTATTTGTTCAGTTGAGGGACAGAAAGGAAAAGGCAGGATTGGTGAGAAGTGGGAACCGTCACCTTTAAGGACTTCAGGGTCTGTTGTCTTCAGAGCAGCATCCCTTAGCAAGGGCAGGCTGGATATACGGAGTCCCAGCCTTCTCTGTGCTCTGTTATCAGTTCTTATAATCACATCCTTCTTTTGAGCGCTGGTGGCAATGAATAAACTGTTCTAGTTTTGTGCAGAGGCAAAGCTGGAGGTCAGTTGCCTTGTGAGATTCCGGAGCTTCAGACCGAGCCTCATAGGCTTCCACAAGATGTTGTGGGTCTGTGGGTGTATGTGCATGGTGTGTGTGTGTGCGTGGTGTGCATGGTATGTGTGTGTGCATAGTGTGCATGTGTGTTTCAGAACTAACCATGAGATCCAGCACTTTAGCAATATCAGTTCTATTCCTCTGATAAGTCTGGCAAGAGTTTCCAGGACAAGAGGTTTCAGAGTGGTCAGTTTTGAGACCTGTCATGAGAGTCCGTTCGGGGCAACTATGGCAGGCACTACCAGAAAAGTGCCAGATAGAGGAAATCAGGGTCTCATTTTTTTTATAATAATGGTTATTTATTGAGTTCTATCTGTTAACAACTGCAACACTGATCCCTGAATACGCATTATCTCATTTAATCCTAAAGGTAACCTTACCGGGTAGGGGAGATTGTTTCCTTTTAATAGTGTACAGACTGAAGCTCAGAGAGATGTTTTCTTGTTAGATCTCATTGATGGAGCCAGACATGGAAGTGCACATTTAAAATCTCAGCAACCCAAGAGGCTGAGACCAAAGGAAAACAAGTCTAAGCCCAGACTGGGCCATTTAGTAAAACTCTGGCTAAAGAAAAAAAAAAAAAAGCTGTGGATATAGCAGACTGTGAGGACTCTGGGTTCAATACTCAGCCGCCCCCCAATAACATTCTCATCAATGGTCTAATTCTAAAACCCATGTTCTTGCCCAAGTAAGAGGTATTCAATAACCAGGTCCTTAAGCTTACTTGCTTGCTTGCTTTTTGGTTCTGGGAATTGAACTCAGGACCTTGTGTTTGCCAGGCAGGCGCTTATGTCACTGAGCTACATTCTCAGCCCACAGATGTCATTTCTGAAGTGTCAGAATAATCACAAAGCCCCAGAAATACAGGTTAGGTAAGGAATAATAAGTTAGCATTTCCGAATAAGCAAAGCCAAACCCAGCTTTGTCCTGGAGGATTGTCCACGGTAGTGCCACAGCTTGGAATCTATCGCTTTGCCGCAATTTAGTGAAAATCAAGTGTAACTGTCCACAAGGGGCTGATTCCTAGATAATTTTGATTTTTACTGCATCTGATCTTAAACAGAAAAAATAAATAAATATAAAAACTCAGCTGCTGTGGTGTTGGGGTAAAGCCTTGTGGGCTCCCCATTGAGTCTTCCTGGCTAGTAAAACCAAGGATCAAGGACTGTGGACCAGCTCCCACAGGAAGTATTACTAATACTGCTTTGGATATGCTTCTGGGAACTCGAGCCCCACGAAGAAGGAGAAGGGTTACTTGACAGAGGCCTAGTAACTATGACAAAAGGACACTCATCAGAGGGCTTTGTCCCTGTTGTGCTATGTCCCTGGAATACTTCTCTTGCTAAATAATTCAATTACATTTGTTTCTAATAGAATGTGTCTTCTCTCTAAAACTAAATGAATTTGTAACACATATGGGACCATATCAGGTCTACCCTGTGTGACAGCAACGTTTAAGTTTACTGTGCAGAGAACACAACATGGGGAATTACTAGTGACATTTCTTCTTTCTATTGGAGGGAGGAAATAGATATGGAGAGTTGGGCATGTTATTAGAAAGGGTTTTTAGCTAGTAGGCAAATGGCGCAGTGTGTTCAAGAATATGTCTGTATGTTTGTATGTCTTACATTCCTGATCTACTTGAGAACGGTAGGCCCTCACAAAGATCAGAACTGCTGGTATTTTCTGAACTGTGTATGTGGTATATATAGTGAAGACAAGTCTGTGGTAAACAAATCTTAGTTCTTTTTGAAATTATTTTTAATGTCTGCAGAAAGAAGTCTATTAATCTAGTTTTTGTTACTATTATGAAATGGCCAAGGATGGGTAGCTTTATAGAGAAAAGAGGTTTATTTTGGTTCATAATTCTAAAAGTCCAAAGGTCAAGAGGGCACATCTGGTAATTGTCTTCTTGGTGGCAGAGTCTGAAGGAGGCACAGGGCATCATATAATAAAAGATGGGGCACAGGCACACATGTATCTTCTGATTCCCCCACACACTTTTGAATATTTTATTCAATGAAGTTTCACTATGCTGCCAGGCTGGTCTTGAACTCATGGGTTCAAGTCATACTCCTGCCTCAGCATCCTAAGTAGCTGGCATTACTCTCCCTCTCTTATAAAACCACCAGGATTCAATCACGGGACCTCTGCCCCAGTATCCTTGTCTTATCCAAATCACCCCTCACAGGCCTCAACTCTAGTCTCTTAGCTGGTGCAACTCTTTCCCTCTTAATACTCCAGGAAGAGTTTTCACCCAACCCTTGAGGAACACACTTAAACCATAGCCAGACAATTGTAAAGCCCCAGAAATGTGTCTTGAATGATCTGGAAGGGGAAACAGAGCATCTTGTTTATCCTTTTAAACACTTTAACTTAGTTTTTAATTATGAAAATGGTGCATGTTCCCAGCGGTGATGTATATGGTAAAGGTGAGAACTCTCTTCACGGTGCCCCAAGCCCCCTTCCCAGCAGTAACCGCTGTTAACATTTGTTGTGTATTTTTCACATCTGTTTTTGTGCATCTATAAAGACGAAATTTTATTTATTTCTCCAGTAAACATTTATTGAACTCCTACTGTGTGCCAGGTAACATTGTGGGTGCCAGAAATGCAGCAATATAATACAAGCAAAAATCTCAGCCCTCCTGGAGTTTGTAATTCCAAGGGAGGAGCTAGGCAGTTAAGCCATAAACAAGGGCATCCATCATGTAGCAGATGGTGGCAGATGGTCAGGGAGGAGCCGGGAAAGACCCCAGGCAAGGTGAGGGGCCGCGGAGCCCACTCCCTAGAACATGGACCGCAGTGAGAGAGGGCCTCAGTGCAGCGTGTCATCTGGGCAGAGATGCAGAGGTCAGGAGCAGGCAAGCTATGGGGCTGTGTGGGGAAGAGAGTTCCTGGCAAAGGGAACAAACTGCAAATGAAACACCCAGAGGTACTGGAAGGAAGCCCGGGGCGATGAGAGCTGAGGCAGCCACGCAGAGCAGAGCGATGACGGCAGAGGCCCAGATAGCACAGGAACCAGAAATTGGTGCAGACTCTTGACTCTGCATCTGAATGAGACAGGAAGAGAGTAAGGGCTTTGCGCAGACAAGAAAGAGTTTTCTGGCTTATGTTAGAAAAAAGCAACTTTTGCTGCTCTTTCCGTGCTAATGGGAGAGCTACTTCATTTCACGTTTTAATCTATATGTGTCTTAAGACACCAGTTGTTTGTCAGCCCTATCCCTATTGGTGAACACTGAAGTTATTGCTAATTTTTCTATTAAAACAGTGGCGCTGTGAGTATCCTTCTCTGTGCCCACATCTATACTCCCGAAGGATAGACTTGCTATAGGCAATTGCCAGGCCTAAGAATATTTATCTTTAAACAGAGGCGCTGCCAAGACGGATGCTGCCAGATCGCCCTCCAAGAAAACGCACCTGTGTGCGCTCTGTCCGCGTTGCATTTCCATGATTTCTGCCCCTTCTCCATACTAACGTGAATGGTTTATTAACTATCTTTTTAAGTTTTGTAAATCTCATAAGCAAAAAAGCTTATTTTAAGTTGTTTATCTTTGATTATCAGTAAGAGTAAGCGTGCTGTCTTAGGTCAGTAGTCATCTGGATTTCTTCTGGGGACATCCATAATCTTTGTTTTTCTAGTCAATTGTTGTGTTTTGTTTTTAATACTGAAACTGTGTCTTGCTAAATTGCCCAGCGTGGCCTCAAACTTAAGCAGTCCTGCCTCAGCCTCTCACGTAGCTAATATTACAGATGTGCACCACCATCCCCAGCTTCCCAATATCATTTTTTAAAGAAAGAAATTGTAAAGTCCCAAATTGTAGTTAAGAAAATAATCACTTCTGATCAAATTGAAGACTTTCTTATTGTCATCTGTACATAGTAAGTCTTGTTAATTTGGCATTTGCAGATTTTGGGGACAGTCTGCTCTGCAAATGACCTTTGTACCATCTGTGATCAACTTCAGCAAAATAGCAAAAGAAAATCATATTCTACAAGGAACAGATTCATTAAGCACATAGTACTTCATGAAGTCCTTCATGTCCAAAGAAATCTTAAGAAACTTAAGTAAGATGTAGATTTCTAGCTATTATACTTTCATAACATCCAGATAAAAGATGAGTTATTTAAGAAACTTACTTGGTATCATATCTTTTTATATTTTTCAACTATTCTTAAAACTTGCTGAGACTTTTTAAAGGTGTAATCCAGGTAACTGGAAAACTGAGAAGTATGTTAGTGCCTGGGTTCTTGAAAGACTAAGAAAGCTTACTGCAGCTTTTAACATTAGCTGTCCTCTGCAGCAATTAAGAAAAATGAATTCAGCCAGGGTTCATTGAGGTAGCACTCTGTCCACTCCATGTGCTTGGGATGAAGCCATGAAAACCTAATCAGCAAAGGGCCTGTTCTCTGTCACATTCTAACAAAGGGAGATGGAAATTAAAAAGAAAGAAAAGGGATAGTTCCAGAAGTTTATGTGCTACAAGATAATAAAACCAAGAGGGCTGGAGGGGTGGGAGGG